TTCATTTATATCACAAATCTTGGCAAGGAATTTTCTATTAAAGTTGCTTATGTGGTCAAATCCATGGTAATATAAATAATGCTGTGTGCACATCTGATAAGTTATACGTTTGGGTGAAATTACAGAACAAATCAAACTGCTTTAACCACAGTTCTCTTTATTTTGAAAATAAATGGGACAACAGCTAACATTTACTACATGCTGTGTCCCAGATGCTATTCAAAATGCTTTCCATTAATTATCTTATGATAATTGATCCCACAAGTTAGATATAATTAATATCTCCACTTTACACAAAGCAAAATCAAAGTACACAGAGGTCATATGGTGGGCAACTAAATGGAAGGGCAGTTTCAAATCCAGTGGTCACATCTCCAAAGCCCACACTCAGTCTCCATATTCTTGAGATTTAGGGAATGCCACTTCCATTATGGCAATGCCTTTTCACCGGAATATCTGAAAAAGTACAGTGAATCAAAGAAAGTGGGTTCTAGAAATAAAGCTTTACTAACAAGATACTTGGCCGGGCAAAGTAAATTTAACCTAACATTAAGAAAATCTTCATTGTTTAAGCAAATATATTTGGAAACAAATTACAGTAACAAATTCGTTGCAGTCCAGGCACAGTGGCTTATGTCTGTAATCCCAGCACCCTGGGAGGCTGAGGCAGGAAGATCACATGAACTCAGGACTTTGAGACGAGCCTGAGAAACATAGCGAGACCACTGGCTCTACTAAAACAAAACAAAAACAAAAACAGAAAAAATAGCTAGGCACAGTACTGCATGCCTGTAGACCCAATTCCCATCTGAACTGGCACTGAATGAAGTTTCCTAAAACTGCCAGCTATTAGGAAGCTGAGGCAGGAGGATGGCTGCAGCCCAGGAGTCTGAGGTTGTAGTTAAGCTATGATGATGCTACTGTACTCCAGCCTGGGCAATAGAGCAAGACTCTGTCTCAAATAAATAAATTTATCTTTGTAAAATATGCATTATGACATTTTACAAAATATTCCCTACATGTTGGCCACCTCTTTATAAAATTTCATAATGAATATTTTTATAAATAACAATACATTTAGCTACAATTTCCCATTTTACCTATGTATGGGGACTTAGGGGCAACCTTTGGGACACCCATAAATAAATAAAAAATAATTAATTGGAGATATCTTGTACTATTGCTTCCTCAACATTTTCTTTCTTAACACTTTATTATAACATTTTATTATTTATTTTTTATTTTTCACATCATATTCCTAGACAGGGAAGTTCTCAGTGATCCTGGCAGCTTTTCATCAGACTTACAGAACCAACATCTTCTCTCCTTTTTGGTTCTTACAAGCAGGGTGGTCTAAATGGCACTTCTGCCATTCTGACTAGTCACTACTATTAGGAACAAGAATGTCTGTGCACAGTGCCTGGTTTAAATGCTGGCTCTGCACCGATTAGCTAAGTCACCTTAGGGAAGTTACTGAACCTCTATGTCCCAGTGTGAGAATGATAACAGTATATTCTCCTTACACATTCAGTAGTAAGGAGCTGACTTTGTTAAGACATGGAACTATTTAGAGCAGTTCTTGGCACAAGATAAATGTCCTGTAAATATTAGATTTATTCTTAAAATACAAAGAGTTGTCACAGGTATGCTTGGGCATTAGAAAACCATGTGAAAAGGAACAATTAATACTTCTTTAATGAAAGGAGGAAGGAAAGAAGGAAATAACACATCAGTAAAATGGGTCAAATTCAAAGAAAATGTCTGGATTGTACATTTGCACAAAAGTGGGAGTACACTAACTTCCTCTAGTAAGAAGTTCTAAAACTGAGAGGGGCCCTAAGAGTACATTTTGGATAAATGCCAAGAGCTTGGGTGTTAAATCAACATTTCAGGCAAAATTGAGACCAGAGAGCGTCACTACCATTGAATGTATTTCTTAGATACCAGCCTAATTTTGAAATTTCAAAAAACTGTAATTGTATTATTAGACATTTTAGTACTAATTTTAAAGTTTGACAAGATGGTGCAGAAACAATTTTTGAGCATGGTCAGCCATCACAGACTCTCCACTGCGCAGCACCTGCACCTAAATAGATGTGTACTTTCTCTATAGCAGAGGGGACAGACAGATTTGATGACTGACTCTGCCAGGACACTACAGACAGTGAGATTGCCACCAAGTCGTGAAATGTTATTTTGTCTTTCACAGTGACTAATTTGAATAATTACTTTGTCTAATACTGTGAATGCTAGATTATCTCAGTCAATTCTATAGAATAGAATAACGCTATACTTTTTTCTCTATATTCTGCTTTATATTAACCTGAATTGGTATAAGTATTTATTGGCTCAAAAGGGATATAATGTTTTCCTGAAGGTAACTCATTAACTCTCTTTTTCAATATTCATATAAACTGTTTATCTAGTTCCCTAGTTAATTCATTATCTAAATATTCATATTAACTGTTAACCCTGTTTATTTTAATTAACTAGATTTCTTAGGTTTCTTTCTTTCTTTCTTTTCTTTTTTTTTTTAAGGGACAAAGTCTTGCTGTGTCACCCAGGCTGGAGTGCAGTGGTATGATCACAGCTCACGGCAGGTTTAAACTCCCAGGCTCAAGTGATCCTTCTACCTCAGGTTCCTGGTAGCTAGGATCACAGGTGTGCCCCACTGCACCTGGCTAATTTTTCTTATTTATTTATAAAGATAGGGGTCTTGCTATGTTACTCAGGCTGGTCTCAAACTCCTGGGCTAAATCAATCCTCCTAAAGGGATAGGAGCACCCAGCCATTTGTTCTGAATAGCAAACAGCATTCACAATCATCAATTACCACAGCATTTTGCTCTCGACAAGTAACAGTAGCAGATGCTGACAGAGCCCTAACTATATGCCATGAACCACCTCTAAGTCATCTGCAGACACAGCCAATCCTTACAACAACTCTAAAATGTAGAGACCTTATTATCCTATTTTACAAATGAAGAAAACTGAGCCACTAAAGAAGACAAATAATTTGCCCAACTAGTAAGTAAAAGAGCTGGGATCTGAACTCAGTACGTTGGCTCAGCTTCTGTGCTCTTAATCACTAGACTCCCTGGCCTTCTGGATGAGTCAGAGTTAGACATGCAAGGGGTGAAGGGGGGTTGAGAAAATCATACAGAAAAACAGGGAAGCAACATGTGTGAAAGCTGTGTGGTGGGCATGAGGGCAGGGGCAGGGGCAGGAGAGAAATATGTTTGAGGTCATCAAATTAGGCACAGGAGCATCCATACTTGAAAGGTTCTGCAGGGCCAGACCAGGTAGGATCATGCAGATCAGGACAAGGGAGAGAAAAAGGACAGGAAGCTACTAGGGGGTCTTCAGCAGGGGTAGGGCCATCACAATCAGAATGCCGAACTTCTGAGTTCAAGTGATCCACCTGCCTTGGCCTTCCAGAGAGCTAGGATTACAGGTGTGCACCACTGTGCCCAGGCAGTAGGCCTAGTTTTTTATGTCAACCACCTCCATATGTTGACTGGTTTGTTACAGTCTCCTGGGTGGCCAACTTATAGAGGCTTTACTATATTTTAGACTTAGTATGTAAATGACAATTTAAGCCACAAGAGTACATTAGATCCTATAAAGAGACTCTTGAGAAAAAGAAGAGGGCCTAAGTCAGACTCCTTAAGAATTTGACATTTTAAGAGACCAGAAGATGAGGATGTGACTGCAAAGAAAACGCTGAGAGGCTAAAGAAAAACCAGAAGACCGTAGTTATCACAGAAACTAATGGGAGAGTGCATTTAAGAAGAAATCAATAAAGTCAAATGCTTCTGAGAGGTAAGGAAAGACACAGATTGAAACATGTTAGATTTGGAGATGTTCTGATTGTTTCAGAAGGGCAAGTAGGCCATAAACCAGACTCAGGATGAAGTCAGAGGGAAGGAAATGAAGAAAGAGTATATTCAACTCTGAAAAAGGTAACTAGAAAAGGATGTGGGGTTGAGAAAAGACACTTAAAATAAAAGATGGAGTACATTTAAAATGTGGATTGGAAGATCAGAGTTGGGAGGCAAGGGATGAATATAGTGAATATACCAAACAATGGGAGAAGCTAACTGACAGTGTGAGGTCTCTATAAAGTCAGAAGAGGATCCAAAGCAAAGAGGGAGGAGGAGAGATAGTGTCTATTTTACCCTAAGGGAAAGACGCCAGGAGGGGTGCAGATGGAGTGGGAAGATATTGTTCCCACCTGATGGTCCTAACTTCTCTGAGACATAGGAGCTAACTTCTATCTGGAAAATGAAAGAGGATGTGTGGGTACAGGGGTGACTGGGGAGGGATAAATTGGGGCAGTGCAAGCATTCTGAAGCGGTAAGAAGAATCCAAATAGTCTTTGTAGAAGGTGAGAAAAAAGAGTGGATCCAAGAACCAGGAATTGCTGGGGGGTGTTGAGGGCCCATTTCAGAACATCGGAGATCAAGAATTTACGGGGTTCCGTTTTGTGACCTGCAGTGCTCAGCTCTGAGTGCAAGCAGAGAGAAGGTAGATGGGAGTCAACCAGGAAGAAAGTCTGCTAGCAAGGTGCAACAAAAATCCAAAGGGCAAGGGAAGTGAAGGGGCAAGGGTACTTAAGAACTTGGCGAGGGTCCTAGAGATAGACCACAGATTTATGTTACATGAGAAAAGAGGTAGGCTGGACCGGGAGAAAATAAAAGGATAAGAGCCTAGAGGTCTGATGAAAGTTAGGCTCCTCACGGCAAAGGCATTTAGCAAGCTGCTGTTGGATAGGATGGTGTGGGAAGAAAATAGAGTATTTGAATTTAATTCATTAACTACCATTAATAATCATTCACTAGATTACTTGAATTATTAGCCTGATCATTACTCATTACTACATTAAGATTAGCAGCTCTGTGATATGACAAGGGGTTAAAATTCCTACCCTGTGAAGAGCTCTTAGAAATTATTAAGAGAAAGACCAATAACACAAAGGAGAAAATGAATGAAACACCCTACTTGACTGGAGATTCCTCTTCCAGGGTGGCCTGGGACTCCTCCATCACTGTGGACTCGTCCATGGGTGCTGCTGGCTCCACATCACTGAAAAACAGCAAGAACCTCTCTAGTCATACAAATATATTCAGATCAATGCCTTTGTTAAAATATATTATCAAAGTAACATAAAACATTTTAAGATTGGACAAAGCACATTTTAATGTCCTTTTTCTTAAGGACGTGCTCTTCAAGGAATTATACCCATACAAGGACCCACCTCAAAATGAAAATGAGAAAATGGTCTGAATTGTTTATCTATACAAATTATTCCCCCCAAATGTGAAAAGTTCTTTAAGAAACAGAAGTTTCCACGAATGATCTAAGGTTAAGAGCAGATTTTAAATGATCTGAAAAATAAGCACTCTAGGAAACCAATGTGGGTGGACTGCTTGAGCTCAGGAGTTCAAGACCAGCTTGAGCAATGGTGAGACCCTGTCTCTAAAAATATGTAGGCGTTGTGGTGGGTGCCTGTAGTCCCAGCTACAGTCTTGACATAGCCCTAACTATATGCCTCAAACCAAGAGTTTGAGGTTGCTATGAGCTGTGATGACAAGGCACTCTACCAAGGGTGACAAAAGTGAGACTTTGTCTCAAAAAAAAAAAAAAAAAAGGAAAGAAAAATATTCAAAACTTTTTATGCTAGAAAACTAAGTATTAAAAACAGCCACAAAAATTCTTAAATTACAATTGTTAAAAGACTTACTAAAAATAAGAATATGCCATATCAAACTTTTAAAAAATGGTGAGAAAGGGCAGTGCCTGTGGCTCAAAGGAGAAGGGCGCCGGCCCCATATACTGGAGGTGGCGGTTTCAAACCTGACCCCGGCCAAAAACTGAAAAAAAAAAAAAAAAAGGGCAAGAAAGTGGAAAATAGGGGTATGATTGCAAACAAGGTGGTGATAACTATTATAAAAAAACAAAGCTTTAAAGCATTGATTTATACCATCACATCTAAATACATAATTGACAGATTAGAAATGATAACACAATGAAAATTAACTTGAATTTTAATACACACGATCTTAATTTTTCTTTTTTATGTTACTGTCAATCCCACCTCAACATTATATTAAAAAAAAGGTCCTGACAAAAGAAATTTCATTTGCAGTAAACTACTAAAACTAGTCAATATAAATATACCCATTAGAAATATTTTATAATCTATATAGAAGCCAGCAATTTTTCAACCTATTCAGGAAAAAGCTTCAATAACAGATTTAAAAATAAGTTACTCTTTTTTTTTTTTTTTTTTTTTTTATAGAGACAGAGTCTCATTCTATTGCCCTCGGTAGAGTGCCGTGGCATTGCACAGCTCACAGCAACCTCCAATTCCTGGGCGTAGGCGATTCTCTTGCCTCAGCCTCCAGAGTAGCTGGGACTACAGGTGCTGCCACAACACTACTGTGGCTATTTTTTGTTGCAGTTCAGCGGGGCCAGGTTTGAACTCACAACCCTTGGTATATGGGGCTGGCGCCCTACTGACTGAGCCACAGGCGCCGCCCAAAAATAAGTTACTCTTTTAAAAAAGTAAACATAAATTGAATGGCAATAATAGAATATACTTTTTCAATTCAACAAAATAATATAATTTGCCAAAATAATCGTTGCTAATTTTGAAATGTAATTATGTTGTGCTTTTGGTCACATGGTTCTATAACAGCTGTAAGTTTAACATTAGTTTTATGTTTATTCTCAACTCTAAGCTAAATAATCAATTTTAAAAAAGAACTTGTTATTTCTTTTACACAAAAATTGAAGTAACTTAAAAAAAAAATAAAAAAAGGTCCTAAATCGAATGTGCTCTGTAGATGGGAAGAGCATGGCTGCTGGTCTATCCAGAGGAAGCCCCTTCATAAGTGGTCACATCATACTCATCCCAGCAGGGGCTAAACATCCAGTAGCCCCAAAGTCCAGGAGAGGAACAGTGCCAAATTACTCCAACTTTTCCTTTATTCCCTTGACCATAAAATAAACCAATAAAAAAGCAGGTTTCCTGACAGTGTGAACCTTTTGACGATTAAAAATCACAAAAGAGTTGTTAAGATAATGTGGGTGGGTGGGGGGCAGAATACAAAAAGCAAAGAGACTGTAAAAATCAGCAGACCATACATGTGAGCAATTGAATTTATGGAAAAGAAAAATAACAGATGTTTCCCCATGCTGACCTAAATTATCTTATGAATAAACATAAAACTAATGTTGGACTTACAGCTCTTCTAGAACCATACGACCAAAAGCACAAAATAATTACATTTCAAAATTAGCAACAATTATTTTGGCAAATTTTATCATTTTGAAACAAGTAAATTGCCAGTGTTGGATTTATTAGAAGGAAGATGTAGCCCCAAGGCCTATGTTTATATTAATATTTTGACATCAGTTACATTAGTACAGATAATGCCTGTTTGTGTAAACACATTTCACCAAATGATGTTAAATACTTCATAGCTCTGTCAGTGAAGTTCAAATTTAATCAGGCTTCACACTTAACCAAATCTTTAACAGCAAACAGATTTTCATCAAATGCTGCTTGATAATGACATGAAAATGTCTTATTCTTCCCAAGAAAAGTAAGAAGGCAGCATTATTGAAAACTGCATTCGTGTCTACTCTAATTGTTTATTTATTTTTATTTTATTTTATTTTATTTTTTTGAGACAGAGCCTCAAGCTGTCCCCCTGGGTACCAAGTGCCATGGCTTCACTGCTCACAGCAACCTCCAACTCCTGGGCTCAAGCGAGTCTCCTGCCTCCATCTCCCAAGTAGCTGGGACCACAGGCGCCCATCATAACACCCAGCTATTTTTTTTTTTTGGTTGCAGCCGTTGTTTGGCGGGCCCGGGCTGGAATCGAACCCGCCACTTTAGGTGTATGTGTCTGGCGCCTTAGCCGCTTGAGCCACAGGCACCGAGCCTACTCTAATTGTTAACAAGAAAATATCTGATATACTTTTTAACTATTGCAAATGGAAAAAACCCTATTTTTAGCATAAATACTATCAAACTACTGAAGTAGACCAACCAAAACTTACATCTGTCACTGGAATGATTCAATCACACCAGTTTGAAATCACCTTCTCCTTAAGTCGAGTTATCACTGCTGGTATCTTCAAACAAGAATACTAAACTATGGTAAAATTCTCACTTACCACGTACCTACTCTATGTTGTGAAGCACTTGGCCTTTGTCAGGCATGAACACATCACTTATGTGTTAGATTCACCTCTTCTGATTTCTCTCACTGATCAACAGTACAACACATAGCTCGACTATGCTCCGTTGTCATGACGTCAAGTCAAAATCTCAATTTATTAAGAAATTAGTCTTACCCTAAGTAAATCTTTCAGTTACAAATTAATTACCTTCTAAGCGTTTTAACTCTTCTAACTTACAAACCAACCCAGAATGACTGCTATGGAGGTGTGTGTCACTTTAACATTAGGACATGCCAGCCTACCAGGAGCATGTGTGGTCACCTCTTTACATTACAAGGCCAATGCTGGCCCCCTGGGATAAGTAACCACATGAAGCCAAAATGACTTTAAGTTCAAACAAAACTAAAAAGGAGTGGCAGTATCAGATAAGGTAGTAAATCAGGTGATTTAGAAAGGGCCTGTACTACCTTGGTTGAAACATATTATCAAAGTAAAATAAAACAAAATTAAAAGGGACCTTATGGAACCCCTGATTGAAAAACACTTAAGTGCTTCTTTTCAAGGACAACACAGATGAGCACTGGTAGTAAATCTAGAGTTGTTACATTTGATATAATTTTTTACTTTTGTCTTTAAGGATCACAATTTGAGAAAAATAAGTTCATGCAGAAAGCTCATATTCTTCCAAAGAAGAAGTGAGGAGGTCTGGATCCCTCAAGCCTTCAAACTAGCGGAAAGCCTGCTACACAACATTACTTAGGCTGCGCTGCCCTGGAGCACATCCTACATCTTTCTGTGCAGACATCAGGAAGGCAGCATCCCCGCAGCTGTGAAATGACAGTAACAGAGCAGACCACGTACCTACTTCTAACTAGCAAAATAATTAGCACTGATCTGAGGCATCAAGAAACCTCTGAGAAATATGCCCATTCTGTGCTGCAGGTGAAACTTGTCATTAAGCTTTGATCTGCAAATTGAGATGGAACATCATAAATCTGTAAGAATTATGGAAGGTCACTGAAAACTAGACTATCCATGAATTTAAAAAGCAACCCAAGGCATGTGCAAGTGTACTATGCCATAGACTTGGGGCAACAGCAAATACATGGTCATCTGTCACAAACTGATTTGGCTAAAGCAAGATAAGAGAATTTTAACAACATTTTCAAATCTCATTGTAACATAGCAAAACTGTTTTAAAACTTATCTCGCTAAACAAAAGCCTAAAACCAATCTATACTCGGGGGCACACGAGTAGAGTACCCACAAACATAAAGCACAACACAGAAGACATCACTTTCAAGAAAAACAAATAAAGACCCAGAGATTTCCATTTCAGTGAAGGTTCTCAGAGGATACGTGTTTGCACCATACCTGGTATCTTTACCTGATCCCCAGGTGTGAACTCCACATCCAGCCATGTTGTCTTCGGTTCTGGTTGCTCTAAAGAAAGAAAGAATATTCCCTTGAACTGAAAGGGGCTCTCTCACCAATCTCCAGATCAGAAAAAGTTGATCATAAAGGTGTCCCAAGATCAGCTTCCCACAAAAATAACAGCATACTAATATAACTAAATATTGACACGTAATGAACAGATTTATACCACGTTTTATAAAAGTCTCAAAGTAAAATAGCACTTACAAACTTACATTTTATCACTCCCACCATATCTTTCAAAGTCTCGTTTCCCTCTCTGGTCAAAAGTGTCAAAAGTTCTGCTGCCGGGACCACCTCTGCCTCTGCTTCGCATCCCCCCTCTCGGGCCTCCACGTCCTCTCAGTGGTCTATCTCGATCAAACCTATCAGCTGGTCTAGGAAGAGATGGGTATAATAAAAAGTGGTGAATTAGGCCTTTTCAAGAAAAATGTTCTGAAAGAAAATTAGGGCTATAGCTAAGAATGGCAGCTTGAAAAATAAGTTAACCTTTATTGAGCACATACAATAGCTGGTATTGTTCTGAGCACTTTACATACAGTAAAACTTAATTCTCACAAATCTGTAACACACAACTATTGCCCACAGATGAAGAAACTGATGCACAGAGGAAGTAGGTAACTTGTCAAGTCACACAACTGCTTAGTGGTGGAGCCAGACCAGGAGAAGCAGACATTGTACTAACCTGAGTGGGGCATCCTTTCTCTCTCTGGATCTAGTTTCTTTATTTAGAAAATGAAGATGTTAGTTATGGTTCACTGCTGTTCTAATATTAAATATTTAAGTTAAATTTGTAATGTTTTACATAAGAAAAGTGGTTAAACTTCAAATTAAGTTCCCTCCCAAACCTCTCTCTCCTAAAGTGATATTTGGGACCAAAACCCTTAACCTGCTACAACCTGACTTCTATTCCATTATTCCAAGGACAGCTGAAGACCTTGTTATTTCCTCTGATCTGTTTGGCTTCTCTTTTTCTGCCTGCCCTTAAAAAATATTATTTTTGGAATAAGTAATACCCAAACACAGTACAAAATTCACAATGCTCCTCAGCCATTCAATTCCACTCCTCAGAGGCAGCCACTTCTAGATTCACATAAAGGGAAAAGCTCTGTGCCTTGCCTTTCACACCTAACCATAAGTCTTGGCACTCTCAACAGAGCTGCCTCCCTCATCCTTCTGGATAGCCGTCTGTCCTTAGCCATGTCAGCATTGCCACCTCTCTATTCTTATGCACTGCCTCCCTGTCTCTGTGCTAGTTGACCCTGGGTTGCTTATTTGGGTCACTCTCTGATTTTAGGACATGCAGCCAGTTGCTTCCTGGACCCTTCCATCTGCACACCCCTGGTCCAGTGCAGGGCCCTGTTTCTGCTGTGGTCCCTAACTCACAATCCAAGAGAACATCAGTGACTCCTTCATCTTCTTCCCCTCTGCCACATGAGGTTCTAGCTCTAGGGTGTGATTACCCACTCACTTTTCATATCCACCTTCCTGCCATGTCTCTGGTCACTGTTAAACTCTAAGGATTTGTTTCCCCTCCACGAGACTCTACGCTCCCTGTAGGAAAGGACCATACCTTGTCACCATTATAACCCTAGTTTAATAACTGGGTTACATTAAATATTTTTTCATTTGTCAAGGCTTTTAAAAACATTTAAAGCAACAATGAATTGCTTAATGAAGATCCTGGTATCAAAAAATCTAGTTAAGTTTGGTACATTTTTAGAACAGAATAGAGAACCAAGAGATTAATCTAGCTACTTATTGTCATTTGATCTTTGACAAGCCTATCAAAAATATTCAGTGGGGAAAAGACTTCCTATTTAACATATGCTGCTGGGTGAACTGGCTGGTGACATGTAGAAGACTGAAACTGGACCCCCACTTTTCACCATTAACAGATAGATTCTTGCTGGATAAAAGATTTAAACTTAATACATGAAACTATAAAAATACTAAAAGAGAGTGCAGGGAAAACACTTGAAGAAATTGGTCTAAGAGAATATTTTATGAGGAGGACCCCCCCAGGCAATTGAAGCAACACCAAAAATACATTACTGGGATCTGATCAAACTAAAAAGCTTTTGCACAGCCAAGAGCACAGTAAGTAAAGCAAAAAGAGAACCTTCAGAATGGGAAAAGAATTTTGTAGGTTATGCTTCTGACAAAGGTCTGATAACTAGAATCTACAGAGAACTCAAACCAATCAATGAAAAAAGAACAAATAACCCAATTTCTATGTGAGCAAGAGACTTGAACAGAAACTTCTCTGATAAAGATAGGTGCATGGCCTACAAACACATGAAAAAATGCTCATCATCTTTAATCATCAGAGAAATGCAAATCAAAACCATTTTGAGATATCATCTAACTCCAGTTAAGATTAGCCCATGTCACAAAATCCCAAAACTACAGATGTTCACGTGGATGTGGAGAGAAGGGAACACTTCTGTATGGCTGGTGGGAATGCAAACTAATATGACCTTTTTGCAAAGAAGTTTGGAGAACACTCAAGGAACTAAAAATAGACCTACCGTTCAATCCTGCAATTCCTCTACTAGGTATATACCCACATGATCAAAAATTATTTTACAACAAAGACATTTGCACCAGAATGTTTACTGCAGCCCAATTCATAATAGTCAAGACATGGAAACAGTCCAAGTACCCATTGGCCCATGAATGGATTAACAAATTGTGATATATGTACACCATGGAATACTATGCAGTCATAAAAAAGATGGAGCTTTCACATCTTTTACGTTTACCTGGATGGAGCTGGAACATATTCTTAGTAAAGTATCTCAAGAATGGGAAAAAAAAGTATCCAATGTACTCAATTCTACTATGAAATCAATATATAACCACCTACATACTCATACAAATGGCAAAATATAACTATAATCCAGAAAGTAGAAGGAAAGAGGAGAAAGAGGGGAGGGGAGAGAGGATGTGGGAGGAGGGAGGGTATTTGGGGGGACCTCAACCTAATGTGCATGATGCAATAGTACATTTCAAAACTATTAAGAAATGAGTATAATTTTAATAGATGTGTTACTTAGTTCAATGTAAACATCTTTATAATTCCTTTACTACATAATATGTATCTTTTTTATAAAGGTTGGTGAGGACTTGGGAATCCTGTACTCCACTTAGGATGTTTCATTTGTGACAAACTCATGAGCTGATAGAAAGAAAATCACCTTGAGCCACGCACTCTGTTTACAACAGTCTGATAAGTAGTCAGGAGTAGCTGCTTTATACACAAGGAGACTCATGGAGGTGGTGCTGTTTAATGGGTTCAGTTTCAGTTTGGAAAGAAAAAAGTTCTGGAGATGAATGGTGGTGATGACTGTACAACACTGCAAATGTACTTAATTAATGCAATACTTAAAAATGATTAAAATGGAAAATTTTATGCTATATAGATTTTACCATGATTTTTAAAAATGCTTCTTTATGGAAGATGGAGGGGGGTAAACATCTGAGTAATTCTTTCAGAATAGGAAGTGATTTTGGCTCAGTGTCCGCAGCACAGTAGTTATGGCGCCAGCCACATACACCGAGGCTGGCAGGTTTGAGCCCTGCCTGGGCCAGCTGAACCACAACACCTGCAAAAAAAATGGCTGGGCATTGTGGTGGGCGCCTGTAGTCCCAGCTACTGGGGAGGCAAAGACAGGAGAATTGCTTAAGCCCAAGGGTTTGAGGTTGCTGTGAGCTATGATGCCAGGGCACTCTACCAAGGGAGACATAGTGGGACTCTGTCTCAAAAAAGAAAAAAGAAAAAAAAAAAAGAATAGGAAGTGATTTTAAATGACCAGCAGTAAACCACAGAAGGAAGAGCCAAAATGTATCCAGAGACAGACTAATTTCCTAATAGTCTATGTCTTCAGAGTTCAACTAAGTTCATTTGGAGCATAAGGAAAATTTCTTACTGTATTAAAAACAGCAGTTGCACTCCCATTATATGTACTGATGTAGCTGATCTCTGCAGCAAAGACACACCGAGAACTAATCTTAGCACCATTTCCAGCAGTGTGTCTGTGGGAAAATATGCTCTGCCTAAACGGTATAAGATTCCACCTCAACTGGCTATGTCAAGAGTACTGTACACATCGTTGAGCCTGGGTCTGTTTCTTTACTTACAAATCGAGAGGGCTGAATTGAGATAATCTCTCAAGATTATCAAATTCTATAATTCTGTCCAATAAACATGTATAGGTGTGAAAAAAATTCAAGGTGACACCCTTTTCACTACCAAATGAGCAAAGATCAAACTTTATCATATCCAACTTTGGAGAAAGTGCTATGAGAAACGCTATCATAGATTATCAGCGACAAAGCAAATTGATAGGTTACGAGAATAATGATGTGTCACTGTGCATCAGCAGCTCTCCCAATTTTGTTTGTATGCACAACACACAAACCATCCTCCTTTGCACTGAAGTACAGGATGGGCCCTGATTTGGAAACACAACCCCCTCACCTGAGAACCACTGTTTTATGACCCTAACTGGGCCTTGGACTTCTAGGACTCCATCATGAAAACTACATATATAAACAGCTAATCACTAGGTATTATTTATAAAGCAAAAAAACAGAAGCTGAGCAAAGGTCCAACATTAAGGAGATGATTATGTTAAAATGCATCCAAACAAGACATCACTAAGCATTTTTAGTGACATGGAAAAGGCTTATGCTTGTCAAGTGGAAAAGAAAGAATATAAAGTACTCAGTGTATATCCATTGTCATCTTAATATCTATCATGAATAAAAAAGAAAGGAGGAAAATAGGCCAAGTCTTAAAAATAAACCATCTCAGATGGTCAAATAGGTGGTTTTAATTTTTTAATAATTTTTTTTTTTTTGGTGGGGGCTGGATTTGAACCCGCCACCTCTGGCATATGGGACCAGTGCCATACCCTTTTGAGCCACAAGTGCTGCCAATTTTTTAATGATTTTATTCATTTTCTAAATTGTCTAGAGTGACTATAAATTATTTTTATTAAACATTTTATGAAACTTATGAGGAGTTATCAGAAGAGTATTTTTTAACTGAGAAAAATATCTTTTGATATCACATGACTAAAAAATTCAAATTTTCTTGAAAGTAAAAATTCCCTACCTATTTCTAAAGTGATGTACTGAGAACACATTATTTCTGTCATGTTCCTGCCAAAAGTACATAACTTCATTCTATGAGGCAACATCAAAAGGACTCAAATTCTGGGGTCTGCTACCAAACTGGCCATACTCTGCAAAAATGTCAAAGTCGGCTGCATGCTGTGGCTCACACCTGTAATTCCTGCACTTTGGGAGGCTGAGGCTTTGGATCACTTGAGGCCAGGAATTTGAGACCAGCCAGAGTAATATAGTGTGACCCCATCTCTACAAAAAATAAAAATAAAGGCTCGGTGCCTGTAGCTCAAGTAGCTAGGGCATCAGCCACACACACCGGAGCTGGCAGGTTTGAATCCAGCCTGGGCCTGCCAAACAACAATGACAACTACGACCAAAAAACAGCTGGGCATTGTGCAGGTGCCTGTAGTCCCAGCTACTTGGGTGGCTGAGGCAAGAGAATTGCTTAAGCCCAAGACCTTGAGGTTACTGTGAGCTGTGATACCACAGCACTCTACCCAGGGCGACAGCTTGAGACTCTGTCTCAAAAAAAAAGAAAATATAGGGTGGCATTTGTGGCTTAAAGGAGTAGGGCACTGGCCTCATATACCATAGGTGGTAGGTTCAAACCTGGCCCCAGCCAAAACCTGCAAAATAAATAAATAATAAAAAAATAATAAAAAATAATAAAAATAAAAAAATAATAAAAATAAAAAAATTGGCTGGACATGGTGGTGTGCACCTATAGTCTCAGCTACTTGGGAGGCTGATGCAGAATTCCTTGAGGTCAGGAGGTCATGACCTATAATTGTACCATTGTACTTCAGTCTGGATGAAAGAGCAAGATCCTGTCTCAAAAAAAAAAAAAAAAAAGACAAATTCATAAAGATAAAACTAAGGAGCTATTTCAAATTAAAGGAGACAAATTCCATGCACATTCCTGGACTGAATTTTGAACAAGAAAACATGTCTGTTTTTGTAAAAGAACATTATTAGGATGACTGGTGAAATCTGAGGAAACTCTATAGATTACATAATTTAGAGAGTTAGGTAACAGTACTGTATTAATGTTCATGAGTTGATAACTGTGTCACGTTTTTAGGAAATGTATTAAAAGTATTTAGGGAGAAAGGGACATTCCTACACCTTACTCTCCAACAATAAGGAAATAATGTTGTGGGGGGAATGATAAACCCAACATGGTAAAAATTTAGTATCTGGCCAATGTGGATAAAGGGCATATGGGAATTCTCTGTATAATTCTTATGGCTTTTCTGTAACTCTGAAATTATTTTCAAAGAAGAACAAACCTCTCCCCCAACAATCCCATATTTCACCCTACCCCTATTTTTACATATTTGAATTATTTCACTTAATAGACCTCTTCATGTCACATATGAAGATCTATTTTATCCTTTTTAAAGACTAGTCTTGCTACTAAAAAAAAGTGACAACAGGAGTTTGTGGGTATGAACTACAATATCCTTATCTCCACAGAACAGGTCCCTGAAGTGAGAAAAAAAAATACCTAAGTGCTTCCAAAAATATATAGCTCTGATCCAAGAGGCTTTGAATAAGTAAGTCGTCTATGGCCATTACACAGAAAATTTGAAGTAACCCCCCCCCCAAAAAAAAAAAAGGGAAAACAAAAGCAGAACTAAGCCTTTGCATTTCATAACCTTTCTTGTACCAACATGGTAGCAGATATACCATCATAATGTTTTAAATGCGAAACTTCCAGGTGAACAGATCTGCAGATTTGCTTAGCCTTCTCAGACTGGGCTCCAGACTTTTTTTTCCTATGGTTAACAGATCTAGAGAGTATAGTTTTATAAAGTCATATTCTTTATTTAAAACTTATAACCAGGATCCTAAACAGAATTAGTAGTCAAGAATTTGAGAAACTTTGGAAATAATGGTTCCCTTGATGTTTAATCTGTATACTGTTCCAGTATTCTCTTAGCCTTTATTTTCCTTGAAATGTGATTCACTAATTACTTCTGTGTAATGTCAACTCTGAGCTACACAGGTATGAAGATCAAATGAAAGCTTTAGGCAACAAACACCCATCTTGCTAGTGCCAAGCATAAGACACATACTACTACTACTTGTGTACAGATGAGGCATGGACACCACTCCATCACTGAGAAGCGAGGTGAGACTGTGCCTGCCTAAAGACAACCTTATATGTTAGAGTACATTCTAGAGAAGGCATGTAAGCCAGAAATTGGTATTACCCATCACATTAGGTTCTTCTTCAAATCTCATCATAATATTCTATTGATTAACATAGCTACAGAGCTAGTTTCAATCTGGTTGGTAGTTTAAATTAGTAATGCTAAATCAAAACTATAGTTATGTCCTTAGCCCCTAATTATATCCTAATGTCTAGAGCTTCAAAAAAAAAAAAA